TCCAGCCCTTCTTAGATTCTTTGCCCCCAGCTTCTTTGCAGAAGCAGCACAAGGTAAGGGGAAACACTGTGATAGGTGGGGATCTCTTGACTTCTGATGGTGGGGAGGCTCTTGACATCTGATGTGAGGGGGGTGGGGTGCTCTGGACATCTAGTCTTAAAAATACATTTGGCCTTTTGAGGGCAACCATAAGGCTGATGTGACCCCCATGATGCAATTGAGTATGACACCACTAACATATAAATATTTCAGTACATTTTATTTAACCCATTTGTGCTGACGCCTCCCGGCCCTTTAAGAGGTTTCAGAAGCCGTGGGGCGGGGTTTTAGGGTCATGTGACTGCCGTGATTCGCTGTCATGGCAGTCACATGATTGGAAAAGGTCCCGATCAAGGGTAAATCGGGACCTTCCCATGAGTCACGGACAGGGCGCATGCTCTCAGCACATATGTATTTTCAAATGGTACTCAAATATGCGGCTGCTTGGCGTCAAGGCCCAGACGCCGAGAGGCCGCCTATTTGTGTGTGCTCGATGTCTAGGGGTTAAAGAGCAATTTCAGGCACAAAATTAGCAATCAATTGTTCTACAGCAAATGATTTAATGGAGTAATGCCCCGTACACACGATAAGAAAATCATCCGGAAAATTTTGCGAAACCACTGATCGAATGATTTTCTTTTCGTTTATGAGCAGGATGTTTTAACCGATAACGATATTGTGAACGAAAAAATCCAGTTGCACAACGGTGAAAAATGTTATCGTTTCACATACGAACGACCGATTTTCTATGCGGTGGTATGACGATCGTACGAAAAAAAATCTATGAAGCGCTATCATGCAGCAGCAGCAACAGAAGATGACTCGGATGTTTATGTCCAAGGAATCTTCGTAAACACAAACGAAAAATCCAAATGTTAAAAGTAGATTGGCCTAATGAGATAATGAAAGCAGAATGATTCATATTATATTTTATGTATCCCTATTTGTGTATATAGGTAATGTAATAAACTATATTATACTCATTGCTGTGTATATCGTTCATTCTGGCCGGAAGGGCGTGGCTACAAGGTCACACGCACACTGCATCACTTCCACTTGTACGGAAGACGTCAACACTACGTATTGCCCGACGAATGATTTTTTTAGATTGGTTAATGTGGGCCATGATTTCAACCAACGAACGAATGCCTCTTGGTCGTCAGAAGACTGATCGGTCGATTTTCTAATTGTGTATTCCCACCTTTAAACTTGCAAAAGTTCATATGGTTTACCCTAACTTGACTTCTATGCACATTACCTTTTTTAATAACAGTCTTTCTACACCATAGACAACCATGAGCCTGCAATGGGTTTGCTGATAATAACGCTCCTGTATCACAAGAGGAATTTGTAATGATCAGCAATAAAATGGAATAGGGTGGTCTGCTGCACTACTGCAATTGCTGGATTAAAGCCTGGTTCACGCCAACCCATTTTTTTTAGTGCTTTTTGCAGAAACACACTACAGTCCATTTAACATGATTTCCTATGGGACATGTTCACATCTATGCTTTTTTGAGCTGTTGTGTTTTTGGTAACGGTCAGGGACTTCTGTTACCATAGAGTTCAATGGAGAAGCTGCTGAAGCGCATGTAGGGCGTTTTTGATGCGTTTTGAATTTTTATTCTGCCCTGCAACAAAAACATTTCCCCTTTAACAAAAAAAAAAATGTGAAAAAAATATAAAATACAAATAAAAATACAAACAAAAAAAAATATAAAATAAAAATATAAAATACAAAATATACAATGCATTAGTGTAAACCAGGCCTAGAAGTTAAAACTGATTAAGGCTGGCCATACACTATACAATTTTCTGTTCAATTTATGCCAATATTCCTTTAGATTTACCTTCAACTATGTAGTGCAAGGGCCTGCTTAATTGGATACAATTGAAAGTGTTGTTTTTAGGTTTGACCTCATTATATGGTTTTTGGTAAATCTAGAGCAATTTTCTAAAGAAAATTGTATAATATATGGCCAGCCTAAGGATGAGCTCAGACGTATTCAGATCCTAGACCGAACCCACCCTGACCAAGCCTGCCAAGAAACTGTCACTATACTGGGCCAATCATAAGTGGCCAAGGCATTCCCTGCCCCGCAGCCGCATGTGTATGCACTTACTTGGATACATGTGGCTGCAAAGCAGAGAATGCCCTGTACAGTGACAGTTTCTTGGAAGGCTCACTCAGGTGGGATCGGACTAGAACACATCTGAGCTCATACCTAATGCTGATCAAGCAGACCATGCTGCGTCTAACCCGAGTGTACCTTTAATATATTTAAAGTGAAATGATACTTATATTATGTCCCCAGATAAAACACAGTATATACATTGCAAGGATGTTAGCAAATGTTATTGCATTGTTTTATCTGTTTCTGTAGATAATGGTCTATAAAATGATACAATCTTTGTTAAAATCAGTACAAATGGAAGACTTTGCCTTTATTGTAACATGAACAGTCTCTATGGTGTAAAAAGAAACACTGCAGCAACTGTGCAATGCAGATCTAAAGACAATGTCAGGGATGCTAAATTGTAAACAGGAAGCTTTATGTAGTTTAGGGTGTCCCCACATCCGAGCCAGTTTAACTGAAGCAAGGCCAAGTTTGATTGTCCCCCCTCCCCATTCCCCCGCTGGTTTGCACTCACACTTGATTTTAAGGAAGTGTTACCGAGAGCATTCTCTCACTCCAACCAAACCAGCGATCCCTGTTTCACTGCACACTTCTCTATGGCATGGTTTGCACTCACACTGCAGCAAACCGTACTGGATCATAGGTGAACCGCACCCAGGACCACCTGTTCCAAATGGTCCCAGGCAAGGTTCGGAACACTCACCCCAGATTCACAGTTATGCGGCCGTTCAGGCCGTTTCATTTGAATGGACTTCCGTGCCCGTGACATGCATGGAAGAAGTCCCAGCACTTCTTTGGAAAAACGCAGCCTGCGCGGGAACCTCGGTTTCCAGTATGGTTGCGTTTTCCAGTGCGGGCGGCATGCCATTAGAACTAATGGCACCCGCCCACGAGTCCGCAATTCTCTGTGCGGCTGCACGGTTTTTTCGTGCAGATCCGCAGCGGCACCACCCGCACAGATGTGGACCTAGGGTCATACTTAGGGTTGCCACCTCATCCCTTTAAAACCAAACACATATTATTTACACAGGTTCTGTGGCTGATTAAGATGGTCATTAACCACTTCCCCCGTCCGGCCCATGTACATAAACGGCCGGACGGGAGCAGTGCAGGAGCGGGTGGCCATTTATAAACATACTCCTGCTTCCCTGCCTATGCGCGCTCCCTGAGAGCACGCGGAACCGTGCTCCCAGGGAGGTCCCGATTCATGTGATCACTGTTTCATGTGACCTCTTGTTTTTGAGGTCCCGATTCATGTGATCACTGATTGGCCAATCAGTGATCATATAAATAGTAGTAAGCAAGATGTCACTTGTGACATCATTGCTTACTACTAGTGAAATCTGTGAATGATCACAGAGGTCACATGGTACAAGGCTATTCACAACAGCCTTGTACCATGTGACAAGCTGTGACCAATCACAGCTCTCACAGTATTTTTCAATGGTTGCAAGAATGCAGCCAGAGAGGAGAAATGATTGCTTTTACAGCCTTTATGGGTGTAGAAGGAGAAATGATTGCTTTTACAGCCTTTATGGGTGTAAAAGCAATCAGTGTAAAAAAAAAAAATCTTCATCACTCCCCACAACTATGGTGACATTGTACTGCTAGGGTAGCAGTATGTAAAAAAAAAAAAAAATAATAATAATAATAATATAAAAAAATTAATTAAAATGTAAACTTTTTTTTGAAAAATTATAATTTTTGGATATAAACTGATTTGGGTTATTTACTAAAAAGATAGCTGAAAACATTTTGGCCAAGATTTTTGAAGAAAGATTATTTATTTGCAAAATTTTATAAGAAAAACACAGTTTTTTCAAAATGTTTGTACTTTTTCATTGATATAGCAAAAAAATAAAAATCCCAGTGGTGAATAAATACCACCAAAATAAAGTTTTATCTGTCTCAAAAAAATTCTAAAAAATTAATATTGGTAAATGTTGCATGACCATGCAATTGTTATTCAAAGTGTGATAGCGCCGAAAGCTGAAAATTGGCCTGGACAGGAAGGGGGTGAAAGTGTCCAGACTTGAAGTGGTTAAACTCACTTAGTGCCTTATCTGTATTAAATTAGCCTCAGAAACTGTGTAATTATGTGTTCGGGTTTTTAAAGGGATGAGGTGGCAACCCTACTCATTCTACACAAACGAACTGGCTGAGGGGGCTGAACCGCGCCTGGGACCGGTTCAGAATACTAGTGTGAATGCATCCCTAACCCTTTGATGCTTAGCACACGCAAATATGTGGTCTCTCGGCATCTGGGCCTTGACGCCAAGCGGCCGCATATTTGTGTGCAATTAGAAAATACATATGTGCTGAGAGCGCACGTGTGTCCGTGACTCAAGGAAAGGTCCCAATCTCCCATTTCGATTGGGACCTTTTCTGATCATGTGACTGCTGTGACGGCGAATCACAGCGGTCACATGACCCTAAAACCCCACCCACCTCCCGACTTCTGAAACTCTTAAAGGGTCAGGAGGCGCCGGCACTAAGAGGTTAAAAAATGTTTTTTCTGAGCTTAGTTTTTCCTTTTAATTTGAAGGCGTCTATGGGGTCATTCCCAGAGTATATCCAGCCCCTTAGAAGTCTATGGGAAACTTGAATTCTACATAGTAATATATGGAGAAAATTCCCTCGGGAGGAGGAGGGGCACGAAACGTGGCTTAGAATAGCTGTATCTGATTTAGGGAGAGCTCATGGTGGGTGATCATTTACACCACTCCATTCAAAAGTCAAAGAGCTTTAGATGGAATTCCTATTTAAATGTAAATACAGTCTACTGTAGAAAAGCACTACAGAATAGGCAGCCAGGCTACTGACCTGTTTGTAATCTTATTCTTCTCTATCTGTTCACTCTGTCTCTGGTACCACTCCTCTAGATCTTTCTTGGCTTTCTCTCTCCATTCCTGCTCCGTCACCTTGGCAGCCGCATCTGTTACATGCAAGTGACAAACATAATGGGAAATTGTGTAAAAGCAGACAAGTGCACTTAGGATGGTTGGTTGGATCATTTTAATCACAGAAAGAGAAGAAAAAGTGTTTCAACCAATTTAGCTTTTCTATTTCTTTGAATCTGCATCAGTAAATAATATGTCGATTTAGATTAGGTGACACCATATATGTTCCAGTGTGGGAGAATATACTGTATATGTAAGGAGGCAATACATACACACCCTGGATGATAGGTTTGTTTAGCAATATCTTAGTTTAAGAACAGACCTCCAGTTTTTTTTTTTTTTTTGTTATTGGGTCAAAAGAAATATATTGCCAATGTTTACTTACCTTCTCCTTGATCCAGTGCGGTCTCTGATTTCCTCCTCTGTCAAGTACCAGCAATCCTCTTCTAGCCAGGACAACACTGTGTCCTGTCATTCTGCCTATTTCCTGTGTGTCTAGCCCAGTGTTTCTCAACCTTTTTCCAGTCAAGGCACCCTTTAAAATTATGGAAAGTCCAAGGCACCATTTAAAATTATGGACAGTCCCAAGGCACCCTTTAAAATTATGGACAGTCCCAAGGCACCATTTAAAATTATGGACAGTCAAAAGGCACCCTTTAAAATTATGGACAGTCCCAAGGCACCCTTTAAAATTATGGACAGTCCCAAGGCATCCTTTAGGACAGTCTTGAGGCACCCTTTAAAATTATGGACAGTCCCAGGCACCCTTTAAAATTATGGAAAGGCACCCTTTAAAATTATGGACAGTCCAGAGGCACCCTTTAAAATTATGGACAGTCCCAAGGCACCCTTTAAAATTATGGACAGTCTTGAGGCACCCCTTCTAAAATGTGAAAAACTATTCTAATACTTTTATATAACACAGCAACATCCACACAAATAGGACACCCAACATTAGAGGTGATTTATTCTCCCAAAAACAAATACACTTTTGCACACTGGTACTGAGTAGTATTCCAATGTTTCTCTTCTCCCTCAGTTTTTCTCCATCACTGAGCTAATGTGACCCCAGCACTGATGGAGAAGGGGCAGGGGAGGGGCAAACTAGGAAGCTGTGTTGGCAGCTGACATCCTCCTTATCAACTGATGATGTCAATTGGTATCAGGACACCGGAGGCTAGAAGGTCGTAATGGTGTACAATGAAAACCCATGGGCTTTGTGTAACTAAAATGCAGGCTTGTTCCCCCAGCTGCTTGTATACAAGTTTTGGGCAATTTGTAGACATTTTTCCAAGGCACCCCTGAAGAAACCTCAAGGCACCCCAGGTGCCTGGGCACCCTGGTTGAGAAGGGCTGGTCTAGCCTGTGATTTACATGCCCCCCACCTTTCCAAGGGGCATAGCATCATACAGGCTGGGCTCACATTACTGCAGGATTGAGCTACGATCATGCGTTATTTCAAGAGCTTCGCTCAGTCCCGAAAAATGCCTGCACCAAGCTGCTGCCACAAAAAAGATTAGAAGCTAGGGATGATGCCCAGGATGAGCAAGATGATATCAAGAAAAAGGTATGTAGAGGGACTTGGGGTAGGGTGGGGTGGCAGGGGAAATCCTGGAATTCCACTTTAAACAGTATGTTACTAGGTTGATATGATAGATACCTTGGTAGAGTAGAAATGTACTTGACATTATAACAATAACTCAATCACAACCATAACTCAATGAATCTGCAACTAAAGCTGGGTATACACTAGCAGAATTTCAAATGAACATTTATACAAAAATTCTTAGGAAAACCATATGAATATTCTCAGGACATTCCAATGTCCTTTGAAAGTAATTCAAGATTTCCTTTTTGGAATGAATGGACTTTACCAAACAAAAGCCACATGCACTGTTGGAAATTTGTACATTTGAGAAAAATTTTCCATTGCGCTCCTTCAAATTTTCTTGTCACTGCGGTGGAAAACAAACATTGATTTGACCCCACTAATGATTAGAAAACCAAACATTCTTACAGAAAACAATTTTTACTGAAATTCTTATAGTTTATACCTAACTTAAAGTGGTTGTAAAGGATTTTTTTTTCATGGTGGTGTGCGCAGTTCCAACACACCTGGTGTGATCCTGCACTAAAGCTTACAAGGGGTTTCTCCTCCTTCCACCCAGCAGGGAAGGAAGTGGTGGGGGAGTGATGGAAAATGAGGAGCCCACCTAAATGCGAACTCTCACAGACTTGGGGCTGCAGGAGAAACATTGCCCGGAAAACTCTGTTTTATTATGTTTTCAAGTTATCCAGAAAGAACTATCATTGTAACATATTGTCTCATGTTCCAGAGCTGGGGAAGCAATTTCTTGGTGGAGTTACCCAGTCGGGATGTCAGAAGTCCGTCACATGAACCCCTTGATATTTAGCAACAGAAGTATGAGTTTGATCAGTAGCACTTCTAGGTACTTGACAATGCCAAATATTGTTTTGATGCAATTTTACAGTACTTGGTGGATGAAAAAGTTTATTTTAAAAATAAAAATAATAAATGCAGTGTCATTGTTATACAGTGTACAGTTATGTTAGAATTCAAATATGAATGTTGACTCATTTAGTATACAATGTATAAAAAATAAACTGTGCTGTACAGTCCACCAATCCAATCATCATTTATCAGTACAGATTAAAGAGAAAACAAGTTGCTGTGGGCAACAGTGGTGACAGTTCTTTCAGGCAGGATTATAAAAAAAACTGACAAGATTGTGACTAGTTTATAAACTATAGCAGTGGTTTCCAAACTGTGGCCCTCAGTTCCTTCACTTCTCTTAATCCAGGCCCTGGGGCTCTATTCCTCTCGTTGAAATGAAGCACTAATCTTCCCACTGACACCAACAGGGGGGGCATTATTCCCCCCACTGATACCAATGATGGGGCACTATTCCTCTCACCAACACCAATCATGGGGCACTATTTCTCCCACTGATACCAATGATGGGGCACTATACCTCCCACTTACACCAATGATGGGGGAACTATTCCTCCCACTGTCACCAATGATGGGGCACTATTCCTCCCACTGACACCAATGATGGGGCACTATTCCTTACACTGACACCAATGATGGGGCACTCCTCCTCCTCCTCCTATTGACCAAAGGCATGTAAGTTTTTTTATTCCCATTGACCACCAAGGCATTGTTTACTCCCCCTGATGCCAGGACATTTTCTGCTCCCACTGGCCACCCTAACGTCTGAGGGACAGTAAAGTGACCCTTTGTTTAGAAAGTTTGGAGACCCCTGAACAAGAGAAAGAAGAAAACACAAGTTGTTCCCCAGGGCAAGCAGACTATCACTTGAGGTTTTCATTTGCACCATATTTATTTTTTTTATTTTTAAATATTCACCACCATGAAGTGAAACCAGTACAAATCTTACCCAGCTCCTCCAAGCGCTCCTTCTGCTCTTCTCGCCATTTGCGGAGACTCTCTGGCTCCTGAGTGAGGCGGTCAGCCTGCGCTATAGCTGCATATCCATCATTGAAACCTGAAGAATCCTACAACAGATACATTATGTGGTGTTATTGCTTCTACACATTTATCGTATGCAATGCTGAACTATGCCCATAGGCCTATTTTGTTGTGCTTTGTCCATGAATTCAGATCATTGCAGTCATACAACGCCAGGGAGCTCATATAAAATAGATAAGTGTATTCTCCTTCTAATGAAATGTTAATTACTTATTGTTACAAAGTTACATAGAAAAGATGTTACAAAAAAGAATCAAGGGACAGCTTGCCTCCTCACCAATACAATGATATCCTAAACCTGGGTCTATGTGACCTTTTCTGCAAATCTGGGCCTGCTTGAGGGTCTTTTGGAAATAATTAAAGCAGAACGCCAGCCAAATCTAACAAGATAAAACAACAAACCAGCTTCTATTGCAATTTTCAGCTTCAATTCAGAGATTTCCCTAGCAAACATTTCTTCTGCTAATACTGTAGATGTCCTGAGTCTCATGTCCAGCATCATTCAACCCAATTCTTCTGAATCTAGGTCATCCTGGAAAGTGTGATTTTATTGAATTTAAAAATATACTCACGAACAGAGAAGTATAACAAGCGTATAAGATCCTCAATGAAACTTTAGGAGTGTGAGACCAGTGCGAGTCTTATCAATGAGCTCTGATGAAGAAGGGACTCCCTTCGAAACGCGTCAACCTGACTTTGAGAGTCTTCCCTCATGATAAGACTCGCGCTGGTCTCACACTCCTAAAGTTTCGTTGAGGATCTTATACGCTTGTTATACTTCTCTGTTTGTGAGTATATGTTTAAATTCAATAAAATCACATTTTAATGAGGTAATGCACAAGGTTGGTGTGCTTTCTGTTTCACTTACAGTACTGGTCGAGCTTCCCCAGCCTCAGAGTCGCACAACCTTTTATGCATTGGTGGTGAATTTCTACAAGTTCTGTTTCCATCCATCCACCCTTGCTCTGGGTCATAGAGTGCAGGAGGTGTTGTTTTTGTTTCCTAGGTCATCCTATACCTGCCCTCATCCTGTGACTGGACAGTGAAAAGAGAAGTAGCACAGCAATAAATTAATCTCTCGTCACTCTGCCGTCTGCACATAAACTGTTTTTCTACATGAGCTGTTTCTTCCTCTCACACTCCAGCCCTGCTGTACAGAGACTGCAAGAGGCTGATACCAGGTCAAATTCAGGTACTTACACTGAACATTTTAATGATGCTTTTAATAATTACAGAACTGCATTAATTTTTGTCTTTGTGATCTGCATAGAGTTCAGTTTTAATTATTACTCCATATGAGCAAAAGCAAACTCTACTTTCTAAACACCACAGAATAATATTTTAAACAATTGTCTTCAGCAGAAATATACAACAGCACAATACTTTACTGCTCTGACATGCTTTATATGACAAAAAAAATTATTTCAATTGACATATTGGTAGTGTCAGTTAAAACATCGAATCCAGCATTTGAAGAACTGTCGTGATGAATACTTAAAGCGGAACTAATCCCTCCTATCCCTTACAGCCAAGAAAGCTGAACTGGGTTTGGCCTGAACCTTAGCTCATCACTACTGTTCAACTGCCTTTGTTATTCTCTACATTATCTCTTGGTAGCTTTAGTATTTGGGAAGACTTTTATGAGAAACGCAGTTTCCAATAAGTACAGTACATTACATCTAATGGTTTGTGTTTTAACCATGCCCCACATTTTAAACTCACCTGAATATCTCCATTCACTGGAGTAGTTACTAGGTCATCATACCCACCTAGAAGAAGAGATAATTATACCAATAAATGACCATAAGTAGCAGAAAAGTACACATAACAAACAACCCAGAAGAAATTACAAGTTGTTCTGCCATATACAGTGAAACAATAAAACATGTTTGTAAATCCCTTTTGCAATTTTTATGATTTTCATAGTATATCCATGTAAAAGAAAACCTGCCCTGAAAGAAATACAAAACTGCAATTGCAAAACTTTCCTTGTTGCTTGGCTATCTCTGACTGCAATACAAGAGTCACTGACCTGGAACAAGCATACTGCAAGTGAAGTCAGAGGGAAGTCTGCACTGCAAATGTATTCTGGGTCAGTGACTTATAACATTGTGAAGCCTTTAGATCAGCATAACAGTTGGGCAACTACCATTTCCAAAAGGAGTTTTCAGGATCAGCAGCCTACCTATTTTAACAGTACATTAAAAGTACATTCCTTTAGGCTGGGTTCACACCTGAGCAAAGCATGAACTTGCAGCCCTGCTCTGGGTTTTTCTTGCCCAGTTTGGAGATCCCTGCTTGGGTTTTTTTTTTTGGATTTTTCCACTCATTGCGCACGTGAATTGGCTGTCCCATGTGTGACAAAGACACCAAAGAAATTCCAAAAATGTTGCATTTTGGCGCATTTGCTGGATGACAAGCACATGCCTGCCTGCTATCAGCGCTTGGGGTGCCATTAACAATTAACAGCATCACAAGCATAACATGCATTTGCAGTGCATTTCCAAGAAGCTTTTTCTTTACATTTTGTTGCACATTCTGGAAGCGCCAAATGTGAATGGAGCCTTAAAAGAGATAACAATGGTCAAGCATTGTGACAGAACCTAAATAAATTATCCTAGCATATGTATGACTGTGAATTTAAAGTAGCAGCAAGCAGATTAAAACAATTGTATGCTACCATTATTTATTATTCATGATTAGTAGAAATTACACACACACATTTTTAGGACTGGTTTTCTGCAATCTATTTTTTCCCAAAGCCATGTTTTTACTACATAAATATGTCTTAAAATATATTCATCAAACTCTGCTTACAAGCAAACTCCTAAGGCTGGTGTCATATGGGCGACTCTGCCACCAGTGATTCTGCCGCAGGCGACTGGTCACAGGGCAGGATTGCTAGGAGGCTGCCTGTTGTCCCTATGGAGTCACTCCCTCGCTAGCTGACAGTAGCTGGGAGGGATTCCAAAGGGGCAAACAGGGAGCCTCTTAACGATTCTCAATCTGGAGATTTTGTCACTAGTTGCCCGTCTGACATCAGCTTTATAGTGTTACTAAATCCATGACCCTGCATTCACTCTACCTGGTCTCCCACAGTACATAAAAGATGAAAATGCAATTATTTTAGTAAGTATAAACTACTAAATACTTTTTCTCATCATCAGCTAGAGCAGTCTTGTGACTTCTATCAGTGTCCAGCAGCGCACTGGTTAATCTCCCTAGCGGTCTGATTATGTCAGTATTTCTGTGCTCAAAGTGGTCCATTTTTTTGCATAGAAATATGTTGTTGTTTTTTATTGTAGGCCTGTAATTCTTAGGAATAACTCACTGAAATCTGTCCGAACAAGAGTCTAGTAAACATCCCCGGTATGTTCTCTAGCTGGTCTAAAACCGCTTTTGACCTAAAGGGACACTTTTTGGACACCATGGACGTTTCTCAGTTTCAAGGCAGAAAGAACAGTAAAAATGCAGGCAGGGCACAGGACAAATCACTCGGGACAAAATGTATGTGAAATGGTTTGATACAGCAATGTTTTACTATGTGATTTTAGTGTATTTAGTGAATGTCACTTTTTAACATTTTTAAATGTCTTGCTGGTTCAGGCCCCCGTACGTCCCGATGCTAGCAGGGACCGGAACCCAGAAGACGGATGCCGGCATCGGCCGGAGGTGATGGCCGGGGATGCTGCAGGGGGGACATCGCGGGAGCGAAGGACAAGGTAAGTGCAGAAGGGATCCCAGAGAAACACTGCAGGGTAATCCCGAGTGTAGCTCGGGGTTACCGCTTTTGGTACTAAAAGTTAACCCCAAGCTACACTCGGCAATACCGTCAGGGAGGTTAAAGCTTGTAGGAGGAGTTTTCATTTTCCCCTATGAGGCTGCAGGACCCCTCAACCTCTGTCTGGACAGTGCTGATAACAGTACTGATTGGCCCTGTGCTGATCACATGCACTCTCCCAAGAACAAAAAAAAAAAAACTCTCTAGCATTACACACCAAACTGAACATGTGCATCTTTCCCCCAAGGCTCTGTTCTATCAGCAGATGGATGGGAGACAGTAGAAGAAGGGGAGTATCAGAGAAGACAGGATCAAACATCCTTTTTACACAATGCGGAGGATTAACCCCTTAGGCTCCACAGTCAGTATAACAAGCATGCTTTACTGCATATACAGACTGATTTTACTGCTGTGGGTTTAGTAACACTTTAAACTACCTTCACATTAGCCTCCTGCATTTAGATTATTTAAATGTAGGAGAAATTATCTGGAAAGTAAAAACAAACTTTATGCTTCCCAGATTAAGTTCTGCTACGCTTTAATGGACCTGCCGATACATGCAATTATTAGTGTTCAGAGTATCTATTCTGCCCCTGGATTCACAGAATTTTATTTTCTCTAAATGCAAACTGAACGCACCTAAATGCAGGTAAACACACCATAAGAATGTGATGACAACTTGCACTTTTTATTTTTTCCAATGCAACATATTGAAAAAAAAAATCATTACGTACATTTATTTGAATTTAGAAATGTCCCATAAACACATAAAATTGCTGGCTTGTCAATTCCAGTGTGAATGACACCCAACAGGCTAACCAGCACACTTCCAGGATTATAACGACGATAATATAACGAGGCTTCATTCACACAGGCATTTTGCCACAGTGTGAATCCCAGGACAGGAAGCTACGGATTCCTGCTGCTGGGTTTGACAGCTGCGAGAGGATAGCTGTGGCTGCCAAGCCTGAACACTGTAACAAAAGGCTGCTGGCAGCTGTGGCTATTCGGGGCTGCTCAAAACAGCCAGCGAATACATGCGGCGATCACACTTTGCATGCATCCAGCTGCAAACACCACAGGAGCAAAAGGCTGCAGCTGCTGACAGCCTGCCATTGCAGTGTATGGCTCAATGGTAGCAGCTAGCTGCCTGTCAAACCCAGCAACTGTCAAACACAGCTGTCAAACCCAGCAACAAGAATCAGTAGATTTCTGCCACTGGTAGCACTGTGGCAAAACGCCTGTGCGAATGGAGCCTTAGCTGCAACTCAAACTGTGATCTGCAGCTGAAAGATCCTTGCTGTGCACTTGATGAATATAAGTCCCCATGCACACTGGGTATTTAGCTGGGATGCATGGGGCTCAGGTGTTTAACTGCAGGGGGAGAGCACGCATACACCATTCAGCCCTGCTGCTGGCAGCCTGTCAAACTCTATGAGACACTGCCAGCTGCTGCAGCTGAATGGTGCACTTAGTAGTACAAATGTTTAACCACTTACCCTCCTGAGGATTTACCCCCCTTCCTGACAGACCATGTTTTGCGTTACGGCATGCGTTAATTTAACTGACAATTGCGCAGTCATGCACTACTGCACCCAAATTAAATTTACGTCCTTTTTTCCCCACAAATTGGCTTTCTTTTGGTGGTATTTGATCGCCTGTGTGTTTTTTATTTTCTGCGCTATAACAAAAAAAACCTGACAATTTTGAGAAAAAAATTTAGTTTTTGGTATTAAACATGTCCAGTAAAAAAAGTTTCGTCATAAATTTAGGCCAAAATTTGTTGTGTTACATGTGTTTGCTAAAAAAAATCCCAATACGTGTAACTTAAATGGTTTACGTGAAAGTTATAGCGTTTACAAATGGCGGCATAGATACTGGAATTTTTTGGGTTTACTAGTAATGGCGGCAATCAGCGACTTATAGCGGGACTGCAGCAGGCATTCTGGCACTGGGGGGAACTGACTTTGTGTCACTGACATCCCCAGTGACACCAATACAGTGATCAGTGCTAAAAAAAAAGCACTGGCACTGTACTAATGGCACTGGGCAGGAAGGGGTTAACTTGAGGGGCAATCAAAGGGTTAACTGTGTGCTGTAAGGGTTTTACGGTGGGTTGTGCGTCTGTGCTTCACTGTAATCACACTGCTTTGGATAGCTGTGCACAGCCATCCAAGGTAGGGTGCACGAGCTGACAGGGAGAACTGTATTGTTTACATACAGTTCTCCTCCCCATCGGAAATCCTCAGCAATCACTGGGCGCCGGGACCCGGTGATTGACAGCCATGGCCGCAAATGGCGGCACAGGTAGGGTGCGCACCTTGCGCACGCCCCCTACCCGGTAAAGCAAAATCACGTGTATATATACGTGATTTTGCACACCCATGCCGCCCTGTAGCAGTATATCTGCTATAGGGTAGTAGGGAAGTGGTTAATGCAGTATGTGCCCAGAGATGAATGCCTAGAATGTAGGCTGCTTGTGCTCCAGGCAATCATCTCTGGTTGCATACTGTTATGAACGTTCATCACCGCTGGATGCACCACCCAACCTCTCACCGCTGGATACACCACCCAACCTCTCATCCAGCGGGGCTGGATGGTTCACCTGTGCCCTCCACCTGCAGCTAAACACCCAGTGCCTCATGCACTAGGGCCAAACGCCCAGTTTGCATGGGGCTCAAGAAGTTTTTTTTTACAGGTTTGTTAACACAGGCTGGCCATACACTATACAATTTTCTGTCCAATTTCTGCCCAATTTCCTTTAGATTTACCTTCAACAATGTAGTGCAAGGGCCTGTCTAATTGGATACAACTGAAAGTGTTGTTTGGGTTTGACCTCATATTATATGGTTTTTGGTAAATCTAAAGCAAAAATCTCAAGAAAACTGTATAATGTATGGCCAGCCTTATCAAGGCACAAAGAGGAGAAAAAAAAGTTTTTTAAAAAGTGACTTTTAAGACGGCTGTGGCAGGGAACTGCTTGGAAGACAGGTGGAGTTTAGAAGCAAAACTGAAGAAACAATGTTTTGTGAAACCTGCAGTCCTGATTTTATCCCTTGCATTATTTCAGTATTGAAGTGTAAGTTACCCCACCTTTTCATATATTCCTGATATTACAGCAATCTTCCAAAAAAAAACTGCAGCATTTTTTGAATTCACCTGTACCAACGAATATACGAAACGAATGCCTAGGATATGAAACGAATTCCGAAAACAAACTGGTTTAACATAACGAATATGACAAAATTACTGCCGAAAATAACTAAATGAATCCCAAATACTATTTGGGTTCAACATAATGAATATGATGAAACAAATGCTGAATATAACAAAATGAATCCCGAGAATGAATTGGTTCAACATAACAAATGTGACAAAACAAAATTCTTCAATGAACAAATGCATTTGAAAAGTATCATGTACTTGTGTTAAAAAGTATCCTGCTCTCTTTGTATCTCTTCTGTTGTGTGAAATTCCTGGTGATCTTGCCAGTCTCCTGCTTTCCTATTAAAAACTGACCACACCATTGCATGGTGGCACATTGATCCTAGCAGGGTCAGTTTTCAGTCCACAAAATGTTGCGCCATTTCTCTTTAGGCCAGTCAATGTGCTCTTTGGCAAATTGTAACCTCTTCAGCACATGTATTTTTTTCAACAGTGGGACTTTGTGGGGGCTTCTTGCAGATAGCTTGGCTTCACATAGGCGTCTTCTAATTGTAACAGTACTCACAGGTAACTTTACACCTTCTTTAATCTTCCTGGAGCTGATTGTTGGCTGAGTCCTTGCCATTTTGGAATTCTTCTATCTATCGAATGGTAGTTTTTCGCTTTCTTCCACGTCTTTCAGGTTTTGGTTGCCATTTTAAAGCATTTGCAATCATTTTAGCTGAGCAGCCTATCATTTTCTGCACTTTTTTTATGCTTTCCCCTCTCCAATCAACTTTTTAATCAAGGTACGCTGTTCTTCTGAACAATGTCTGGAACGACCCATTTTCCTCAGAATTTCAGAGAGAAATGCACTGTAACCAGCATGTACAACATTTGCTGCCTTCCTTCCTTAAATAAGGGCAATAATTGCCACCTGTTTTTCAAAGAATGAATGACCTCACTAATAGAACTCCACACTGCTATATTTTGAACATGCCCCTTTCAATTAGTGATTCAATTACACAGAATCGGCAGCATGCATGTCATGACTGTTGGGTCTGTTGGATTTCTATTACTCTACTACACCTGCTAGTAAATTATTTGCCATGTAGAAATATCATTTCTACCAAAAACAGTGATTGATCAGGTTAGTGATGTCTGACTGCTAATATTTTGAACACAACTGTGTGTGTGTATGTATATATATATATATATATATATATATATATATATATATATATATATATATATATATATATACATACACATAAACAATTTGCTTGCATCTATATTTTAAACTGAGTTGTGTTTTACAAGGTGAGGGGTCACATATATTTTAACACCTGTACTAGTAACTTCAAACTCGTCTACCACCTAAACTCCTAGTGGACACCAGGAGTGGAGCAGTGTGCCATGGCACAATGGCCAAACATACACTACGGGGTCTATTTATCAGTGTTTTCACCCAAGATTCATACAACTTTCACCCAGGATTTACACATTCTTCTAATTCAATCTTATGTAAAACTGGGTGAAATCTTGAATGAAAGTTGTGTGAATCTTGGATGACTCCTAAAACCTTCACAACTGAAAAAAATATGTCTGCTACAATAGCAGGTCCATTTTCAATTAAAAAAAGCTTTTTCCTCATTAGAGTCATAAAACACAGAAGCTTTATTCATAATGTCACTTTTTTTATCCCTGGATATAACCTTTAAGACATATAACATCACTAACAATACAGATATCTGTTGTGAAATCTGGGAGCATTTGCAATGTCTATTCAAATTCTGTACAGTCTGTGTTCTAACTTGTTAATGTAAATTGCCACCCACTTCCTGAATTTAATGCAAACTGTGCTGCTACATACAAAAAGACACTAATGTACTGAAACAATTCAGTATATGTCTCTATGGTGTGTTCGCTGTGGGTGGCTCAATCCCTGATGGCTTTGTTTGCAGAATGCATGGAAAGGCTACCCATGCAAATCATCCAACACAATTCAGAGCTGCTCAGCCTTCCCTGTCAATCCTTGAGGCCCTACAACGGCTTAATGACAGCTGGACGTTTGTTGTGACAGTAAGAAGAAATGTGATATGAACTGGTTCCTGATAAATATGGGGCAATAGATAACATAAGGACACTGGTGTAAGAAATAAAATGAAAGTGGTATCACCAACACCAGTTAACAAGCTTACCAATCCTTTATTACTCCCTGGTCACATCAA